GAAAGGGTCTTCCAACTGAAGTAAGGAAGAATCAAACCCTTTGATAGCAAAAGGCTGAACGTGGTGGCCCACTACCTCCAGCCTAACCTGTTCAAAGTGGGACCAACTGTGGGGACAGGGCATGGCTTCCTGGGGCTTGATCCAGGTGAATTTGGGAAAACTCCAGGGACTCCTCCATAAGCCACAGAGCTGGTGTATAAATCATCACTGCCTGGGAGCTGAAATCCCACCGGACTGTGGTGTCCAGGTGGAAAGACCTGGATGTATTTCTGCAGGGCTTTGAGCCCCAGAGAGACAGCTGGGAGCATGTCCCCTGTTGCCCTCCACTGGATAGCAGGAGAATGTCACACTGCTGTGTCATGTCTGGGGACAGCACATCCCAGAGGCATCTCCTCTTTCAGCTGGGGTAATAGTCTGTGCTCTGGGAACAGAGCAGCTGAACTCGAGCTCTGTTTTTGCTCTGGCTGTGCCTCATGTAGCAACAGCTGGGGGACATAGGTTTGCTCAAACCACAGCCAGACGATTGGAAATAAAAACGATATTCATATATTAATTAACATCTGGTTACTCGTCTAATTACACGATACAATGTGCATGAGCTTTTTGTTCCCTTCATATTTTATGCATTGAATGAAAACCAAACAAATGTTGCAAAAGCAACACTGCGAAAAGCAAAAAAAAAAAACACTGCTCAAGTCTGTACTTACAACACTTACTGACACATCAGTTTAATTAACATGTAAAGGAGGACATGACTAAACCATGACAACGAACATGGTGGTGACACTGAACTGGAATTAACATCCAGCCTGCTCCAACCTGGCCACTTTTCATTAAACTGCCTTCCCAAATCCATCCCTTTGCATGGATTCTTTAGAAAAAAAAAAAAACAAAAACAAACTAACAACAAAAAACCAGCAATAATTTGTTAAATTGAACAGTTCAGTGCCTGATTTAGCAAATTATTACTTAACCATTTTCAAAAGCCACTTTTAATTAAAACAGACCCTAAAAAAATGGCTGTAAAGCACCATCCCAAAGGAAAGAAGCTGCCCAACCCATCAGACAGTGGCTGGTGCTTTCTGCCACACTTTGGGGACAGAAATAACAAAGAGGGGGGAGGAAAGCCAGATGAACTAAGTCATCAGTCAGGTTGTCTGGTGGGTAACACATCATACTGCACGTGTGGCTGTCCCCATGCAGCTGGCAGGGGTGGGTGACAGGGCACCAGGGAGGTGATGGGGACACTGTGCATCTGTGAAAGGATATGGGTGGGCAGGGAAAAGAACAGCTGAAGGCTTGGCTTGGCACTTGGTTCCAGCCTAGGGCTGGGTTTTTTGAGACAGGGGCATTGGGAGGGGAGGCAGAGAGGAGAGCAGATCCTCTTCCTGCCCCATGACCTGCGGAAAATAAATGCCCAACATGTTCTGCCCCATTGAGAAACCCAAATGGGCTCTGACACGATGAGCCACTTTCTCAAAAAGGTTGCACAACAGCACAACAACAACAAAAACTCAACCCTAGGCTCTCAAACTCCCCTCTGAACCTGACAGTGGAGTGACAGGAGTTTTGGGGCTCACAGAAGCAGAAGGTCACAGGGTTGTGAGAAGGAGCCCGCATAGAAGTGGGACCCCCCAGCACTCACCAGTGCCCACCCTGCTCGAGTACCAGGCTAAAAACACAGTTCTGTTTGATGCTGATGCCATGGAGAGAACACACAGCAACTGCTCACCTTTTGAGTGGACTGGTGCCCAGGCTGAAAACCTCTCCAGCACAGCAGATGGTGCCACTGTGCTATGAGCAGACATCTGGGACACGAGCTCTGAAGGGTTAATAGCACCAGCCCTCAGTTTGTTAGAGGGACCAGAGGCAGAGAAGGCTCCTCTCCTCATTCCAGTCACCCATCCTTCCCACAGACCATCCTTGACCACACCAGCCCTGCCTGGACAGCACCCAGGTGTGATCCAGCCCACCTGGCTCATCTCTGCGAAGGTGGTCAGGCAGGATCTCACCATGGAATCACTATTTTATGGTCAGCCTCCCATAATCCAATAAAGATGCTTCTATTCCTTACTGGACCTGTGCATGAGGCTAGATCCATGCTCAGCTATTTGGGAAGAGGACACCTATGAGGACAAGCCCAGAGCAGAGCAGGTTGCACAGCCTCAGCTCAGTGCCTGAGCTCTTTCCATACACTCAGCTCCCACAACACTGCCAAACTTAAGTGTTTGGGTTGAAATTTTCCACACTGGGTATCTGCCTCCAGCTGAATTTTTTTGGAAAGTTTCAGATTAAAAAAAAGTCCAGAAGTCCAGCCAATTCCAACAAGACAGTTGGGAAAAAATATAGTTTTCCTCATGTTAAAAAAAAAAAAAAAAAAAAAAAAAAAGAGTAAAAAACTAAACCCAACTTACATCTTTTGTTATGAAGCCACAGTGTTCAGAGCATGGACTTTGCATTTGTACCTGGATTTGGCCTTTCAATACCTAAAGGGGCTCCCAGAGGGCTGGAGAGGGACTTGTGACAAGGGTATAGAGTGACAGGACAAGGAGGAATGGCTTCAAACTGATAGAGGGCAGGGTTAGATGGGATATTGGGAAGAAATTCTTTATTGTGAGGGTAGTGAGGTACAGAGATTCAACAGAGAGGCTGTTTGGCTTCTCCTGAGTTGGAAACCAGTCTCATAGAGACCATGCACACAGTGAAGGAAGCACAACTGAAAGGTGGATGTGAACTGAACTTTAGGAAGAAGGACTGTGAGACACCATAGTCTCCACTACCCACCAGCACACCTCCTGCAGAGCCATACTGGTACACAAGAACTTGCACCCACAGGCCAAGAGCCCATCACCCTGGTCAGTGGCCACCAACTGGGCTGGAAAGCCCCAGGCAAAGAGCAGTGCTCAAGCCAACTCTCATCTCCAGGGCTGTGTGCTTCAACTCTGCCTTCCCCAAATGGGAATCACAACAATTCCCTGTCCCAGAGAAGGTTGCTGAGAAAAAGAATCACAAGACATGAAATACTGATGGAATAACATCTCAGAGAAGGAAGTCAGACCTTGATCTGCTGGAGTATCCCACTTCCCTCACTCAAATTCTTGACACTGTCTAGCACCGAGTGGGGCTTACATCTCACTCCCTAAACTGGGACACTTGGTAGGTAAGAGCTTGTCTTTTATCTCTGCCTGCTCTGTGGTCTTCAGGACAGCTTCAGTCTTCAGGGTTCCTACCCTCTGATGCTTCACCAACATCAGGAAATGTGCCAGGAGGAAGGAACAGAAAGAAATCTGGAGGAGACAACTGTCATGTGAAACTCCGGCGTTGAATGGCGCAACCAGTTGCATGTCAGGGGGCTTGGGAAGGGGTAACTGGAGCTGGCAGGGTGGGCAGTTGCTCAAAGGAAACCACAGAAGACTGACCAAGCACTTGAAAGATTCCACACATACCTCCCAGATATGCGGCGGTTACAAAATCCCTGCCCGGATGGGGGTGGTGGAGTGCCCTTGGGGGAAAAAGAAAAAAAAAAAAGAGGGGGAAAAGGAAAAAAAACAAAACCCCAGACAACCATTCATGGGGCAGACAGAGGGCTGCAAGTCCTCTGCTTTCAGGGGACACCGCAGGCATCAAGACATCGCTGGCTTGGCTTGGAATTTGGGCTATGCTTGCGGGTCCGTGAGGCGACTCGGAAGCCTTTGGTCACATTAAGCAACGTTACATGATAATGCTGCAGCACTTTCAGGCTGAGGGAGAAGGAAAACAAAACAGATGACTCTGGATGGAAAGGCATTGCTGTAAACCTGGGAGGGAGAAGAACATTCCTTCGGATACTCTTTCTGGCTGGTTGCGTCCTCTCCTCCCACCTCCCACCTCTCTCTCCCCTTCCCCCCCTCCTCCTTTTGGAGAATTGGTGACAGCAAGTTTGTTGTTTTTTTTTTTTTAACTAATATTTCCATATTAAATAGAAAGTAAGAGTGTGAAAGGCCATGCAGAGCGGTGGCAGCTAGACAGTGGAATCTGCAACTGAAGGGTGGAGTTGGAGCACTGGAGAGGTGCCGGTTATTTATAGGGTATGAGAGAACACAAAAAATGTCTGGCCCCTTTAAGGCCCCTTAATCCAAACAACCAATGGAAAGGGAAAAAAAAAAAAAAAAGGGAAAATAGAGAAAAATAAAGAAGAAAAAGGGAAGGAAAAAAATTGAGGAGAAAAGGCATCTCTGCGCTAGACTGTAAAGTGTGAAGGAGGACCAGGCGATGGCCTGGCACGGTCCTGCCCCATCCCTCCAGCCAGACCTGTGCCCATGGCAGGGCAGTATCCCACGGGAGCAGTGGGACCGGCGTCAGGGCGAGGAGCCCTGTGCTCCCCAGGCAGCCCCGAGGCACAGCTGCCTCCAGGGTGGGACGTGGCAGCTGTTTAATCCATGAGACAGCGGCGCTGGACAGGATGCGGAGATGAACGGCGCGTTCAAGAGATACCAAAAGGGAGACTGACAATGCTGGGAATACGGCCTGGAAATTCCCTTTCTTCAGTCTGCATTCATGGAGCAGCCAGGGATCTTTGCACTCTGATCCGAGAAGAAGATCCATGGGATGTGGCCGTTCACTGTTCTCACTCATTTTGGGACCCATAAACTGAAGGATCATCTGTAAGGCCTTCTTGTGTCCGGGTATTTCAGTGCAGATGTGGATGCTCTGGTTGGACCCTCGGCCAGGCTGGTCTAAGAAGGGTTATTTGGCTCTAGGCCTGGAAGATCACCACTTCCAGCCCTTTTCTAGGATTTCTGGTAGATTTTAGGCCAGCTGAGCAATCTCTTCCCTCTACAAAATGTCTTTCCTGAAGATGAGCGAGAGGGACCTCAGGGCAAAGAGGTGCCACACAAAGCACAGCACTTTTGTGCTCTAACTAAAATTCCTTTTTGCTTCTTTCCAAAAGAAATGCATGAGGCTATGACTGTTTTTTCTAAGCAGGCATAAGGGAATCATGAAGAGGTCCTGGAGGACACTCAGCACTTGGGTGATTTAGTGTACAGCAAAGTGGAGAAGTCATCAGCTTCAATGAACATACACCTGGAACCAGGGAAACTGAAGACAGACAATTCTGTGGATAGAGAGGAGTCAGTAAAGAGATTCAAAAGCTCAAGCAGATGACAGTGACACTAAATCCTCAGGTCTTTTCACAAGCCCTGCTCTTATTCCCTAGAATCCTGTTGAACCCATGAGCCTCCACTAATAGGTTTCATTCTCCTCTGCCAGTATCAAGTAACAAGTGATTCTCATATGGGAATCACTAACAACATAAAAATGAGATTTATATGGAAAGATGAAGTTCAAAAGAACAGTTACAAAACCCAGAAAGGTTTTGTTTGTACCCAAGTACACACAAATAAAATCAAAGTCAAACCAGTGCTGTTCAGGACTGAGATCACCATCGCCCATGACCTTCTCCCACCATCACTCTGATTTTGAATGCTGGACACTGGTTGCAAATTAATTTGCTGAAACTGAGGAAAATGCTTCCCTTATGTGTAAATAAGAAAAGGCCAAACATGCATTAGGTAATTTCAAACTTCCTTTAGCTGCTTGCTAATACTCCCTCCAGCTCCAGGAGCTCCAGAGCTCTAGCACTGCTCATGACCTTCCAAGCTCTCAAGAAGGATGACATAAAGTCCTCAATGGCCAGTGGGTGATGCTGGTTGAGATTTTCTGCTGACCACAGAAATGCCTAAAGCACCACAGATCTGGAACAAACAGAGGCGTGGAAAGGTGAAAAGACTTGGTCACGGTGGGGCCTGGACAAGAGGAATAAGTCATCACAGCTCTTCTGATGTCAGCGCCCCAGGGAGGCTGGACCGGCATCAAGCAGAGCAGGGAGGAAAAGGAGGGAAGAGCCTCTTCCTGCTTGTCACAAGGCAACTCCAGGAAACTCGGACCTCGGCTCTCCTCCTGCTCTGGACTTCAGCCACTGGCTCGTCCTGCTCAGAGAATCTGTCAGCACACCTCAAACCCTCGAAAACTGGGGCTTAAGCCAAGGCCCTCAAAAGGGAGAAAAGGAAGGATGGGAGACAGAGTCCAAAAGTGTCTTTCCGCCCTAAAGGTGAGCCCTTTGGAAGAGGCTGGAGTCCCACTCGCTCCGCCTGGGGACGGCCTGCCAGGGGCTGTTTGATATGTGGAGTGAATGAAAACGTTACCCCCACACAGTGATGTTCCAGCAACTTTCAGCACCAACTTTTCTTTATCTTCCTTTGTTTTAAACACAGACTCTCGGGAAAGCAACTCAGCAGACCAAGCTGCAGAGCAGAGACAGAATAGAATTGTCTTTTTTTTTTTTGGCTTCCAATGCAAGAATGCAAAGCATTGTCTCTCTGGGAGGAGAAATAAGTATGGGCAAGTGTTTTGGCAAGAGAGCCACGAAGGAGAATGGAAGGCGAGGATGAGGCGGGGGAAGAGGAAGGGAGGGAGAGCTGGGGGTCAGATAGATGGTTTCGTCTTTTATAAATCTTGGATGGGGAAGAGGTACACAGATGGCTTTGTGTTTTAAAATGATTCTAATAAATCAACTCCATAATCATAATCAAAATGCCCTTGTCTCTCTTTTTTCCCTCCTCTTCCATGGATCACAGCTGAGCAAGGAGGCTGGAGCATGAGTCTGGTGAGGGAATGGCAAGTACTCGAGGTGAAACCCGGCTGTGTGTGAGGGAATGTGCAAACCCACGTGCACATGTGAGCACAGCTGGGCGTGGGAGCCATCCCAGCACTTGCCATGTTACTTGTGAGTGAGCAAATGGCACGAGCAGGGGAAGGAATGAGCACAGGGGACTTTGCAGCTGGCAAGGGTGGGCACGTCCCTGGGGGAGCCTGGGCCATTTCTAAGGATGAAGAAGGTCCAAGAGTGAGGGTGAGGCTGCAGCTATCTGCAAAGAGAGGAGCTTCCCTGATGGTGGGGGAAGGAGTGGGAAAAGGCAGGGTCTGGTCTCTCCCAGGCGGGAGCAGACGTGCCGGGGAGGAATGCTGCGTCTCCGTTCCAGCGCTCCGTCTTGGCTGCGAGGAAGGTGCAGCCTCTCCTCCTCCTGCAAGAGCCACTGGGCCTGGTCCGCGGGGGGAGCAGAGGCTCTGGCTGTTCGGCTTTTCCATTTGGAGCTCCACGTGGCACGAAATCCCATCGGTTTCCTTGCCAGAGGGAGCCAGGTGGAGAGAACAATAAAAAGCAGAAGGCGCGGGGCGGGGCGGGATGGTCCAGAGCGGATGCAGAGGATGGAATTAATCAGCTGTCCGGGAGGAATATTAGAGCTCTTCGGCTTGTCGTCAACGCCTTCTCCTCCTTCCCAAAGACAGACACAATGAGAGACCAAGGAACATTTCCTATTGTTACAGGGGATTTGTCCACAAGGTCCAGCCCCATGTGGAAGTCATTACCGGCTGGGAGTGGTAGGTATCCGCACAGAACATGCAGCTACATGGGATGGGGGAGGGCAATGAGGAAAAAGTTGAGAGACCAGAGATGAAGGGTCTCTGTCTAATTGATTTAAGCATCTCGAGGGAGACTGTCACCCCAGCAGCCCAGCTCCAAGTGCAGGGATCGCTATGGGTCGAGGTATGGAGTGTTTTTCTCGGTATCACCCTTTGGGCTGAGCCAAAGTGCTTCTTTGAGAAGCCATGAAGGGTAGCTCAGTGCCCTTGATCAGAAGTGGATCATGGATTTCACTGCTGCTACTGAACAGGGAAGGGAGGGACAGTTACACCAAGGTTTTCTCCTCCCTCCTCTCACCCTCCCTAGACAGAAAACCAGAGTGGCTGCAGCAGCAGCTGTACAAAGCACGAGAAGAGCCGACCACTGCCCACCTGCACATCCTCCCACTCCACTTGGCCTTCAGGATCATCTGTGGAAAAATGTAATTATCCATGGGTGAGAGCCCAGGACTGAGTGATCAGAGAGAGTCAGCACCTCCGTGCTCCTGGGGGAGGGCAGATCCTTTCAGACCTTACATCTAAGCTCAGTTGTTTCACGCTATATTGTACTTAAGTCAGCAGCATCTCCAGAAGTGGTGATGTCAACATCCCCAAGACAGCCAGAGGAAAGGGGCACCTCAGAAAACAATGGGAAATCAGCATCCCAACTCACTTGCTGCCACTTCTCGGTCTCCCTGCTCCTAATCTGTTCAGTACTGAACAGGACTGAGAACAGAACAGATGTTGCTGTAGGTAAAACACAGTCCTGTGTACAACAAAGCTCCCCAGGTGCTCTCATGACTTCCTGAGCCATGAAGGAGCAGATAGAAACAAAGTCAGTCATGTCTATTGGGGTAAAAATGATTGTATGGAGCCTATTTGGGTCATTTGGTCTGACAGAAACCATGGGATGCATTGGAAAGGGAAGTGAGAAGACAAAGGAGGGCAGGAACACAGACGAGGGTTCTAAGGGGAAACAGTCAGTGGGACAAGCAGTGTCTGCTGGGGTTTTCAGAAGCTCCAAAATGTCAGACACAACTACCACAACTGCAGAGAGGCACACGAAACTTCTCAAACCACACATCCCAAACAGCACTGGGGGAGCAGGACACCACTGCTGTGGGGAGACCAGGAAGAACAAGGACTCTCAGCCACCCCAACATGCTGTAGGACACCCAGGACAACTGCCCCCCAACCCAATACCTTTTGCACCACAGATTAAGCAGATTTCTCCAACCTTCTGCCCTCCTGCAGGGTCCTGCTGCTCCACCCTGCCCCACCACGCCACATTTCTTGCTTCCACCAAGTTTGCTGCCCACAGAAGCCCTCACAAAGCCAGACTCGGTGATACGATGCTGTTGCTGCTCTTCTTTAAAAAGTGAAACAAGATAAAGTACGAAAACTTGTTATACTTCCATGGAAGTTATCAGCGGGAAGCTTGGGATGCTCAGTTCCTTTATCTCCAAGGAATTTCACCTCAACTAAGCAGGATGTCCCTCCCCCCAGGGAAGCTTTCAGCTGGGTTCTTTTACCAGCATGAACACTGCAGATTTTTCTTGTAAACAGTGTGAACATTCTCCAAAATTTATGTCCTTCAAGAACTCATTTTTACCAACACTTATGCATCGTAACACATTGCCCTCATCCTGCAAAATCTCAACATGGGCACAGCTTTGTGCCTGAGATCTCCCTGGTTTCAATGAGCTTTTCATCAGCAGCTTGCTGGAGAGGCTGAAGCTGTGCTTATGTTTTATGGATCTGGAAAAATTATTACATAGCAATAGGGTTCAAACAGGAGTCCCCAGCTTCATCAGATGTTTGACTCACTTGGTACATGCAGTCTAAAATGGAAACAGGGGATGGGAAACATAATAAAATGTAATAAAAATGTCTATAAACATTTCAGGTTATTGAAAAAAAATCTCTTTGTAAGTTCTCTAACTTAAGAAATCATGAACATGTATTCTCACAAAGTTAGACTTAGAAGTAGCTCATATTTAATTCAAATTTGCATTGTTCCAATTATAACTACAAAGTACACAGGACATATACATGCATAAAATATATTATTACACTGTAAAATATATATTTATATTATTTAAATTAAATTTAAAATTGAAATAATACTGAAACTAAATATATTTGTTTGCCATATGTATTTGGAGGACACGCTATCCTCATCCTGTAATACCAAAGAGTATAAAAATAAGGCTTGATATTGAAGTCATGGAGTTCTCTTTTCTAATTGCTTTTTTTCTCTTTTTAAAGAGAACTTTTTGGGCAGTCTGTTTAACATGATGTACACACTCTCCTCCGTGGTACTGAAGATGGTATGAGTCCAGCGTGGATCTGCCCAGTCCAGAGGGGGAAGCCCAGCTGGCCAGGGAAATGTCTGTGATGCCACGAGGGCTCAGCAGGATGAAACCACCTCAGTGCTGCCTCATGGCACTGCCATCATCTCCTGTGACAGCAAAGAGGCCACGGCCACCACGGGGAAGGCCCACAGAGAGTCCCCACTGTCACCAGCCCACGCCGTGGTGACCTCCCAGAGCTCCTCTGGGGCAGCCCACTGGCAGCACCACCTCTCTCCCACCTCCCTTCCCGCTCTCCCCCCACTCCAAGCTCTCCTTCCCCTTGCCTCTCTCTCTCTTTCACTCTCCCACCACAGCTGGTTAAAATTACGCTGGAATTTTGTTTTTCTGTCAAGTGAATTTGGACCTGGTAAATCCCTCCCAGCCATTCCAGTGGCCTCCCAGCGAACATCCAGGCTGCATGTAATACACATGATTTAAGAAAGGTGCTGCTGCTGGAGCTATTTCCGAGCACGTTCAGGACACAGGGCTGGGGGCAGCCAAGAGAGGCTCCTGAGGCTCCCAGACACCCAGGGAGGGATGTCAGGGTGTCCACATGAGGAATGGGTGGGAGAAGGAGGAGAGGTCCGAAGGCATGGAATGTCAGCTGGAGAAGCTCACCTTGCAAAGATGATACGAAACCAAAAAAAAAAAGGAAAAATTACAGCAGAAGAAAACAAAAACATCCCAGGCTTGGAGAATTCCCAGCCCTTTTGTCTTGAGAGACCACAGGAGCAAACATGAAAACCCTCCGGTGAGGGAAGCCAATGGGGAGCTGTGGTACAGGAGGAGAAGGACATGTTCTTGGCTGACCCAGGGAAGGGCTTGCAACAACATCTTACAATTAATCGGGGCTGTGGGTGTGTACCTGCACTCATGTGCTCATGCCTGGCACGGCGTGGGGGCTCCTGGTTTGTGCCTGGGGAGCTGCCAGTTCTTGGTGGTCTTTGTCCCAGTTCTGCCTGGAGCTGGCAGAGCACAGCTCAGGGAGGCTCGGAGTGCCTGGGGAGGTGGTGGTGGGACCCGGGTATGGATGTGTCCATGTCCAAGCCTGAGAGCCTCCCCTGCTCTGCAACTCCAGTAGGGAACTCAGAGAGTCTCAAAACTGGTGTCCCATCTGCAGCAAAAGGCTTGGGTCACCCCCAAGGAACTCCAGGATCTCCCAAGAGACCAGGCTGCAGTTATGAGCAGGACTGGTCAGGAATATTAGGTCAAAACCAGCTGGCCAGACAAAAAGTCCTTCTGGTTAAAAGTAACAGGTTTAGAAACACAAGAACAACTCAAAGACATTTTGGCTTGGGGGAAACAAAGTGAGGCAATCCCTCTGATAGCACTGAAATTGCCCCATTATGGCATTTTTTGGAATGGAACAATGCAATTTTAGCTTTCAAAGTGACTTTTTTAAGGACAATCACCGATGTTTAAAAATATTAAGTTTTTAAAAGGTCAGGAAGAGAAAAAACTTTTCACTTTTGCTCAGCAAAGCCTCCAAATTAGCCCTAAGTGGGTTTTATGAGTGGGCAAGGATGGGAGGTAGGGGTTGTAAAGGGCAGATTTTATTTAATGGAATATTTCAGTCATTTTAGAAGGAAAGAAGGGGAACTGTTCCCTTTGGTCATAATTAAATGCATGCACGTTGTGTATATATATATATACACATGTATATATCCACACACACATCTTTTCTCATCAGACTGAATATCCAGGCCCTCGCCAGGTTTAATTAATTAATACCTGGTTGTGCTGGGCATGTTGATACCTGGACAATTCCTGATCCCAAAAGAGCAAACCAAAGGATGAATTAGGATCTGAGGGGCAAAGCAACAACTTAAACTCCCCCAATGGCTCAGTGGCAAACCTGCAACCAGAATCCAGGGACCTCTGGGTATCACTCACTGCATTATGCACTTGGCCAAGTGCGTGGAGGAAAAGCTATTTATAAGGTGATGACTGAACAGCCAAAGAGCCGAATCCATGGGCTGGGTTGGATGTGAGCATGAAAGAGAGGAGAGAGATTGGGTGTGCGTGTGTGCGTGCCCACAGGCACGTCCATGCCCACCTCCTGGATGGGGCCAACAACCACCTCTGAAATCACCCACAGGAGGTGTAAAGAAAAGAAATAAAATCAAAGGCTGAACTTGGTACTAGTCCATATTCCTCCTCCCCTCACCTCAAACACGGCAATAAAAATGGTAAATTAACTTTTATTTTTTTTTTTCTCTTCGTCTCTGCTAAGCTTTAAATGATATGAGAAGTTTTTATATATAATATAGATTTATGGCTTTTTTGTCTTTCAGTTAAATGCTGGGTTATGAAAGAAAAGGAAGTTATGTTTTGGTCATAAACGGAAAGCACGCAAACAGAGAATCATTTAGATATTACTATTGCAAACATGATGCCTGCATTTTTATGTGTACATAAATATATATTCACGCACACAACAAAGATACAGAACCAAACCCCAGGCTTATACATCATGTTTATACACTATATATATGTGTACTTATAGAGAATTCACTTACTTTTTTTTGGTGCTTGAAAACATGCCAGTAAAAAGCCAAAATGTCAGTAAACACACTGGATGTCGTCACTGTTTTCCCTCTTCAGGTTGGTTTCCCCAGCGTACAAAGGTCAGCTCCAGCTCCAGCATAAATTATTGCTGCCTATTTGACTCATAATACCATATCCAAATAATAACCAACACATGCTGGATGCTTTATGGATGAATAATTCCTACCCCAAAGAACTGGCAATTTAAACAGTTCAGGTGTAGCAAAACTGGGGGAAAAGCCTCACTGCCCAGGCTGCGTGGCCAGGGACAGAGCGAATCCTGTGCCCAAGCAAAGCTTCCAGGACTGAACCAGCACCTCCACACCTGCCCCTTGCTGGACCCAAGGCAGGAGAAGCACCTGGGGCAAGTTCACGGTGGTCAAACCTTTGCTAAAACCCAGCAAACCTTTGGATGCTTCGACCTGGCGTGGAGCTGTCGCACTTTGGGACACCCAGGCGGGTGCCAGCACCGATGGATGGGACACTGCCTTCCCTTTGCAGGACGGGGTCGGGCTGTCACCCACCCGTGCCCTGCAGGCCCTGCTTTGGTTCAGCACGTGGCTGAGACCCCACCAGCCTCCACGACGCCCTGTGTCCCTCCTGCGTGTGACGAGCACGAGCACAAAGCCCTGCCGTTCCTCGGAGCACATCCCCAGCCTGTGCTGGCTCCCGCCCTGACATGTAAATAATGACATACCATTTCCACGGCTTTCCAGCCTATTACACTGCTCTTTGGACCTTGCCTCCCATCAGAAGAGAAAACCTGCGTCCCTGCGTGACCCTCCTGGCGCAGCCAAAGCAAACCAACGTGCTATATTTGTTTTTCAAGCCCTGGCCAGGAATGATTCCCGTAAGGCTCAGCCTGGCTTAATGGAGCTGTGTCTGTGCTCTGCCTCTAAGCCTGCACTTGGCCACGGGGCTGGGGCTGCCTTTGCACTGGCTCGGGTAGGACGGAGCAGAGTTTGCTGAAGGTAACAGTGAGAAGCAGCAGCAGCAGGAACTGATGGTGGGGCAGGGGAGGAGGAAGGAAAAAAAAGGGAGACAAGGAAAAACAAGGAGGAGGGGCAGACAGAGGGTGCTCCCAACCTTCCCAATGTATTGTGGCTGTTCTGAGACAAACGTGGCTGGACAGCAGGTTTCAACTGAGGAGCGTGGTGAGAGGACAGTCAGGGCTGCATGAGCCATCACCAGGACCTCCTCACCACCCGTGTCACGTCTCCACACTCACCCCCTCCAGCCTCTTGCCTGACCACTGCAGCAGCTCTGATGTTTTCCTTGGAGGTGGATACTGCAGTTGTCCAGGGCAGGTTGTGCTGCTGGAGGTGCCACAAGGAGTGGTTTGGTGTCAGGGGGCTGGTGCCATTGCTCATGGCCCTGCTGCTTCTCCCCTCTGCTTCCTGACAGCCCTTGGGGCCAACAGGGCTGATCCCAGACCTGTCACCAGCTGCTGAGGTGCTGCCACAGCAAA